CACACACAATTATAAGGAAAAGTGATAGTAAAACAGGAAACATTTCCTGTATTTTAGAATGTACATATAGAATTTTTACTAATGCATATTATACGTTCTTATATTGTCTAAAAAATTTGAGCTGATTCCGATCAAAATTTATTTTTATGAATTTTTAATGTTGCTCCAAATGCCCTGGATATTGTTTGTGCTTAAAATGTGCCTCACTTAGCACACTTTGTGAGAAATTTAGAATTTGCATGAACATTAAATATGATTTATAGCAATACTTGTTATTTTATGTGTTTATTTGTAGGTGCTCTGTTGATGGTTGTATTTCTTACAAGTTTTCTCCAGTTGAAGAGGGTACTGATTTCTATTTGTCTATTCCTTAGTCACGTTTATTACAGAGTCTTCAAGCTACCATGACTATCAAGAGATGAGAATGCAGGAACATGTGCAAAAGCTTAGGATTGGATATGTAATTGGTTTTCTCCCTCTATTTCCATCTCCTACCTCTCTCTCTCATTCTTTTTCCTTCACTATTTCTATTCTTTGTCTTTGTGTACATGTATAGATTCCAAGGTCTGTCTGGGTTGTGTTAGAGAGGGATCTTGTGGATTCTTGTAAAGCTGGAGATGATGTTATTGTTACTGGTATTGTCAGACAGCAGTGGAAATCTCTTAAGTGAGAGTGGCTTTAATTTCAAATGAATTTGCTTTATACTATCTTACATGTACAGTAGCTCTGGTAGTACGTGTTTGTTGGAAGTGGTTATACATGCAAATCACATCTAGTAAAGAGAAGAATGACATCACTAATAAAATGGTATTGTTCTCCTTCTTTTATTTTTTTTTATTGTATTGCAAATAATAATTTTTAGAAGTCATTTTTTGATGCCTTTTGGTGTAGTTATAAGGACAATCCATTGGAAGGTCATAACGTAATTATTGCTAGTTTCTGTCCTCAAGTATTTGGACTATATATAGTTAAGCTTTGTACATGTATATGCTTAGCTCTTGTTGGAGGGGTTGCAGGTCAGTTTAATATTCATACCTTAGTTTTGCTATTTACATAATATTTCTATCCTTAATTTTATTATTTTGCTCATTTTGAATTTTTATGATTAGAAAATTACTGTATTACTTACATGTATAATACCAATACACATGTGTATTGCAAAGCCTTGACTGTTGAGTGCATATACATGTGCACTTGTATTAAGTACTTTTACTGTCTGTATTTCATGAAGTCTGTATTGTAATGTAGCATTTACAGTACATACTATACATGTAGTAATTGTAAATTGTGAAGTAATGTATAAATTCATTTATTGTAGTAGTATGTTGATGAGCCTGGCACTCGTGTTAGAGGTGACTGTTACTTACTACTAATGGGAGATCCAGGTATAATATACTGGGAATCGTATATGTACATATGTTGTCTGATCATCTTTGATGTAGAATATACATTATGATGTATTCCATGCTATCTGTGTATAGTAAAGCACCTAATAAAATACCGTATGAGTGGTTTGTTTCAAGCTGTGCAATTTTTGTGGATTTCACATAATATTTCTTTATAATTGCAAAAATAAATTTGCAAAAATTATTTAACTAATAATAAAACACACCACGCCTCCATTTAATTAATTATTCCCAAACACCTTAATTATCATAGCACTGCTCATGTACATGTATTTGAAGAAAATATATTGTTATTGTACATGCTAATGGCCCATTATCTGAATGAGTTCCTTCTTCAGTAAAAAGGTCAATAGTCTGATTCAAATCCAAACTGAAATGAAATGTAGTCGATTTTAACTATATGTACAATTGTACATGTACATATACATGTGTATGTCATGGTTACAGTGATGAACAAAGAGCTAGAATAAGAAAACATGCTTCAGAAATAGGGTGACAAAACACTTAGAAACTTTTAAGAACAAATTTGTTGATTGCCTTTTATAAAAAAAGAACAAAACAATATTAAATTTCTAATATTTATATGCATTGATGTCCTTTGCTGCATAGAAAGTTTGAACTGATTCTGACTTAAATTTTTTGAGTTATGAGCATTTTTAAAAATGGCCAAATTTTGAAAAATACCCTAGGCTATTAGTAACGCGGTAGCGTTACTAAGTAGGATTCACCCCCAAACAAAATGGCTGCCACGACTTTTGCAGCCTTGCTAAAGCGGGAAAACGAGCTCCTATGCTTACCAGACTTCTTAGAGGACCTTATCTTGACCAGAGGACTCCATTGGTACCACTAGCGTGGCTCTAGACCTTGTCTAAGAGAAAATCCAAAAATCGGCGAACCGGCCGTTTTGTTCAGCCACCTTTTTTCATCTTCATCATCATCATCATCATCATCATCATCATCAAGTCAGAAGTCCTGTCAATCCAGTTGTCGGTGTGTATCTCAGTATTGGTTGGTGCTACAAGGATAATTCTTACACCAATCTACTCCAACAGTCTATGCGCAGGTCCATGTCCCATCAGATCATTCTTCAAGTGAGGAAAAAGTGATACTGTGACTGCTGGATCGAGCCATCTTAGCTGCATGCCGCCATTTTGTTAATTAATGAAGCTTGCCATGTGCTCCAAAATTTGGGTGTGGTCGCGCATGCTCAGATCTGCAGCTCTCGAAGAAGCAAGTTATTTTACCAAGCTATGCTTGGAATCAACTTACTGCAATACTTTAGTGGAGGTTTCCAGCTAAAAGAAGGTATTGATTTTACATGTTACTGTTTTATCAAGTGTGTTATTTTATTTTATTAAAAAAACAAACAATTAATTAATGTTATGACTTATGATATGCAATGATAATTATGAACTTGACAACAGCCTGGAAGAACAGGAATAGCAGGGAAGATGGACACTCTTAGCTCACAGGTTCTTGAACAAGGACTTGTGTCAAGACTAATTCCTTCAGCATGTC